CCCCCCCCAGGACCCATGTGAAGACGGGGGAAGGAGAGCAAAAGGGCACTGTCCACACTACACTGCAACTGTCCAGAGTCACTTTCTGGGGTCTGAGTTAAACAGAATCCACTTTATCTCACTCTGATATGGGAAACAGATATGCTGCCAGTCAAGATATCACACATAGCCTGGAATGTCAGCCCTTCTGACTGAGACAGTACTTTTCATCTGGATAAAAATATACCAAGTTTCTCAGAGAGAAATGCTGGCTGCCTGTCAGTAGGCTTCCTCACGCTGGCAGCACAGGGAGGATAACAGGTCACCAGCGGCTTAAAAGGTGTCGGAACCCTGAATTTCCTGTCTTTAAGCTGTCATACTAAGATATAGCTCTAAATTTATTTTCTACTGTTTCACCTTTTCTTTTATAAAAATGCTTTTATAGATTAAGTCTTATTATATAAATCTAACACATTTTAAGCGTCAATGCCAAGAAAAAATGCAACTTAGTAAAAATAAAAGATTGGTCATGGTTTAAATGTCACAAAGTTTCATTGTATTGGCACAAGGGAAAAACAGGATTCTAGTGTGTATTTGTATGAACACACAAAATATTATGGTTTACCTTTCTAGTCAATGAAACTTGAAAGCTTCTAGAATTTAGAAGAATTTTTTTCTCAAAGGAATTAATTTTTTTCATTTTTAGTGTATGAATGCTCATTTAACCAAAACATTTATTTAATACAGAAATAAAATTTAAATCATAGGGATCTGTTCATGGCTTCGGATAAGTGTGACAGGCAAAATAAATAAATAAATAATAAATGCATTGCTTTTATTTCCTACAGAAACATTTTTTTCATTACATAGTTTCTCATAACTACTCATTGAGTTAGTCAATAGCAACAAGCATGTGATTTTGTAACAGTTGAGATTTTGTAGACAGAGCAACAGGACAAGCTCTGTGTGAGGCCACCAAAGATAAGACCTAAAGAATGAAGAGGAGAGCCATGTTGTGCTAGCTGATTTTCTTGTTGCTGTTTCCACCCACCTAACATGGAGCAGCGTAAGAGGGAATGGATCTGTCTTGGCTCACAGTTTGAAGTGACACAGTCTGTCATGCAGGAGAAGGCACAGTGGTGGCTGACCTCATGGTGACCGAAGTGGGCTGAGGGACCCTTGGCTCTTGGCAGAACAGGACATAAAGAGCAGGTAGGAAGAGGAACAAAGCTATAAAACCTCAAGTTCCTCACCTGGTGACCAACATCTCCAGGGAGGCTTTACCTCCTGAAAGTTCAACAACTTCCCAAAGCAGTGAACCCAGCTACGAATGACATGTTAAAACACATAACTCTGTAGGGTACATTTCACATCAAAGTCAACGCACAAGCCGATTTTTATCCATTTAATGGTAATACTGGGAATTGAACTTGAATACTAAGGAAGTGCTCTAGAGATATACCCTAACTACTGCTCTTTTGTTCTTTCTTGTTTTAGTTTTCACGAGACAGAGTCTTGCTATGTTGCTCAAACTGGCATAGTGTGTACCCCAGGCAAGCACCAAAATTGCCAATCGCTTGTTACTACCTTTCAAGTAGCCCACACTACGAGGCTCAGCATAGCTTTTTAAATGACCACTTCTGGAGAGAAATGACCAATAGCTAAGGTTGGCTGCAGCTCTCAGTCTCCCAAGGAAGGCAAGTTAAAATGCTCTAGGTTCTGCCTCTTTGTGCTGTTCTCCTTCTGTACCGTTTGTTATAGGTAAAAAAACCATCATTGGGCGATACTTCAAATTTCTATTTTGCTTTGCATTTGGGGAGACTTTCTAAACTTTTTCTTAAAAAAATCTGCTAGTATTATTGTTGCTCTCTTGTTTCACTTTCTTGCTTTGGGTTGTCTATTATTTCTTCAAAAGAATAGAATCATCTCCTCTTTTTGTAAGGAGTTTAAAAACATTTTTGAAATTTCATTTTCCTACTTAATTTCCATGCTAACTCTTTTCTGTCTCCATCTGCTCTTTTTTTCTTTCTCTCCTATGTGTATCTCTGCATTCTCTATAAGAAACCTAGAAATTCTTCTTGACAGAATGCATATTTAGTGTCCAGCAGTAGGTGGGTTAGGGACATGTTGACCAGTATTAGAGAAGAGGAGGTCTTGCCAGACTATACCTCCTCATGAGTCTTCAGTTTTGTCATTTTGTACTGTCAGGATTTTCAAAAGAAGAGTCTCCCTATCTGCCCTTGAGGGTATATTGCCAAAACTCCCCGAGTTTAGTCAGAAGAAAACTGGATGCCTTTCACTTACGATGCAAACATTTACTTAACCTCTCACTTACGTCTAATTCTGCCTCAGACCAGAGATAGTAACCTACCCTTGAAATAGCTACACTTTTCAGCCTCTGTAGCCAAGAAGTCATTGCTGAGCAGAGGATGTGATCTGAGGAGACACGTGCTTCTCACATATATTTCCTATGGATGGCTGCCTCAGCCTTGCCACGAATCACCCTCCCCTTTGTGGTGGCAACTACTACAGCAGGTTCTTTAGTCTCCTTTTCCTACGTAAACCCAAGGCTGCCTTCCCCAGTGGGTCAAGTAGAGCAGTGTCTGTGCTGCCAGCACCTTGTCCTCACGCCCATCCACTTTGCTGTTTCCAAAACTGTAAACATTGCCATTTTAAAGGATCTCATTTCAGTGTTGTTCATGGGACATCAGGATCCACTATAGATTTGTTGGTATAGATTTGGTGTGGATTTGTTGTCTTTGTCCAGGAATTCCATATGTGCTTCAAAAACATTTTACCTGTCAAGCATCTTAAATGTTGATTCACTGAATGAAAAATTTAATTCTAGCCTCTTAACTTCTACATAACAATCAACAATGAACTTCTCTCTACACCTTCAAATACTCTTTTTAACTTGTGGGCACTGTCTGCTCCTACCCAGTCCCCAATCCTGGGTCATTCTCTTCCTAACACCATCAGGAGCTGTAATGTCCGACTGAACAGTGCTGGATTCTCACCTCACTTTAGTTATTCCTCTCTGTCTTGATAACATCACTCAGGTTCTTTATTGCCACCCCAGCTCTAGATGGCATTTAGGAGAAATAGATTTCTTTCTCCAGTGTTCAATTGTCTCCTCCTAGACACTACTAAAGCAGTTTAGAGTCAATAAAAGCTTATGTTCTTACATCCTCACACCCGGTCCTCTTTCAACATTTTGTCTAGGTGAAGTCACTACCCAAGTATTCAAGCCAAAGATTAGATTTATCCCAACAACACCCTCATTTTTATCCCCTGGATTCACACTTCTCCAAATTCCACAGTCACTGTGCCAAACCCAAGTGCACTTCATTTTATTTTCTCTGGAGTTCCCACCAATTGGTTCTCCTCATACCATTATCTCTCACCAGAACTGGTTAACTAACCTACTTATCCATCTTCCTGATTCTATTCTCTTCTATGCTTACCTCAACCATGGCCTCGTTTCTCATGGCTCTTCCTGAAAGATTGCCTATCTCTACTTGAAATACTGTTTTATTTGTATTTCGTGTGTCAGCTTACATTCTTAGCTTTGGTGGCAATCATGAAAGATGCAAACCTTCCCTAATTTGGCTTCATCTCATGTTGTACCAATCCCTCCTGTTCCCGAACATTAGTCTTGCTATTCATTTAATGTCCTTGAGTGCCCTGAGTCCTTCCTGATACAGAATTTCTGTAGGTGATGTTTCCTCTCCTTTGTCTAATGACTATTATCTATCTTAATTGCTATATGTTCAGGTGTTACTTCCTTCAGTGAGAATTAAGCATTCCACCTTGGGATCCTCTCCGCTACACAACAATGCATTTGTCTACACAGCTTGTACTCCCACATATTAAGAACTGCTGGAATAGCTTAGGGTATCTTTGTATTCTCAGTACAAACTAGTCTCTAGTTCCTAGTTCCATGCTAGCAATTGTCCCGTGAGCTAATAATACAATCAACATAAAAAAAATCATCACTGATAAAAGCAATCTGTATATTCATTATACACTGAGAAATACATATGATTTAAAAATATTTTTCAAGGAAGATATTGTTCTGGAGAGCAATCATTGACACATCCTTACTTTCTTGGTTTTGCCCATTGCCTTCAGGATGGAGAGATTCAGGTCTTCAAGTGCAGCCAGTACATTCTCGTATTCCCCCAGGTGTTGAGAAAAATATTCTGTAAAGTAAAAGCATTAAAATCAATTTATGTTGGAGTCTAGGTAATCATAAGACAAAAGTCTAAGTTGATAATCTACTTCATAAATTCAGCAAACAAAATGTTGGCTATAAATGAAAAACAGAAATCTTTCAAACGAGATTACGGTAGCAGCATACTAATTTCATCAGAAAAGTAAAACAGAAAAAGAAAAATAGCCTAGCTGATCACAATTATCCACAAAAGTGTTCTTTCTCACATAAAAAAATCTCAGGAAAGTGTGAATCTGGGCGTGATGACAAGGTTGATCCAGTAAAAAGCTATTCTCAATAGTATATTATTATAGATCACAATAGGATAGCAATTTAAGAAAAAATGTAAAAACGTTATTGCTCCTTCTAGGAAATGTTTCTGAAGGACAGCTTTCCCTAAATGCTTGGTTCTGCAAATCACAGGGAGGTCTGCTGTAGCTCTACTCAAGGATCCACTTCTGCCAGGAGTGGTTTTTGATAATTTTAGTCATTTATTTCAGTGGAGCAAAAGTCATGTTTATCATATTTTTCCATTGCTAGGAATAAGTAATGCCTCAAAAACTATGATTAAACTGAAAACATAGAACAGGAAATAATATCAAATGAGTTGAAATGTAATACAGATAAAGGGAAACTTTATTTACAGAACTCTATTATATCTCCAAAATCAGAGACATCCAATCATAATAAACATTCATACATTAGAAATAGCAGAGCGTTTGCATGCTATGTGCTAGAAAACTAGTAGCCCTTACCTTTCCTGCTAACCATCTATTGACAAACTACTATTTGTTACTTTATTTCTGTAATGTATCATATTTAAAAATTACAGTAAAGTGTTATAAACTCACATGCAGACTTAATTCTTTGTTACATTGTAATATGTTTGATAAAAACTGATTTTGTTAATCTATTTAATACTACAGATAGAACATTTGTTGACATTGGTATTAACAAAAGTGGAGGCTGGAGATGTTCATCAGTTGGCTACTACACGTGTTCAAAATGCACAAAGCCCTGGGTTTCATTCACAGTACCACATAAGCCCTGTGTCGTGGTGCATGTCTGTAATCCCAGCACTCTGGAGTTGGAAACAGTAGAATTAGATAGTCAAGGTCATCTCCAGGTACACTGGAAGTCCAAGTCATGCCTGGATTACATGTGAATTTGTTCAAAAATACTGGACAGTTGACTGATTTCATACCCAACGTATAAGTTTTCCTGAGAATAAAAAACAATGAACTATAAACATTCTTGATTCTTGCCAAAATGCAGCCTATACATACATAGATAAACAAATCAAATATTTTTCCTAAAAGCAAAATACTTATTGATTTCACAGTCTCCAACACACTGGGACACATCCTCTATAGAAATCCCTTTAGGGAAGGATCAAAGAAATAACAAAGGAGTATATCTTTATGTCTTGGTTATGCATTTTCCTCATTTATGCATTTGTTCATCTTAGCTCCCCACATAGAGACGGAACAACCACTCGGTTGTTGACCAATTCTGAGAACGGAGGGAACTATAACACCGTCCCCGAAGAACAGCTCGAGCTAAGTGAGGTGGTGAAGTTCAGTGTACTAAGACCATTGGTAAGAGAGGAAGCTGGGCAAGCCGTAAACATCCCTCACGTAGTGTTCTGCCTTCCATCGTGAAGTTTAGGTTAGTGTACTTGACTGTGTCAGAGTCTGCTAGAGCCTCACTGGTTTTGCTTCTCCGTGGACCAGCCATTGGAACTTGTTAGAACACATCAGTTCAGGCCCTTGGGACTGCTGATTCACAAATATGCTTTAAATAGGACACCAGGTGATTTGAGTTTGGGAAGCATCAATTTAGGGAACTTGCTACAACTTCAGATTGTTATTAAAGCCTCATATGCTAAAGCAGAGTCTTGGTTATGGTTCAGTGTAGTGGCATTTCAATTATATTTTAATAAATAAAGACTGCCTGAAGATCTGAGAGTAAAACAGTCCCTCTGGTCAGCCTTACAGACCAGATTAAGGAAACACGTACCTTTAATCCCAGTAGCCACAATGACATGCACCATGCTTCCAAGAAGCATGGTGTCTTCCTGTTCATATTTACAACACCTTCGCTAGCACAATGCCAACAAGGGGCTGGTTTCTCTCTTCCCCGCTGCACAGAATTAATAGTGTTGGGCTTGGTATTTTATTCCGTAAGTCAGTCTTCCAAGTTGAACTTTCAGGTCTGGCTTAAGAAGATCAAGTCAGAACAAAAGAATTCACAGCCAGATAGGAAATAATCCCAGGAAGTATTCTCATAAATCTACATGATTTCCTCAACATGTAAACAAGACAGAAAGCAAAACTGAGTGAGATGAAAGACAGAGCTTTATTCTCTGTATGATTATGTCAGATAGAAATTTCTGGTGAAGATTATTCTAAGGGAGTTGATATGTGTGGGTGATCAGTCCAGAAAACCTTAACAGGAAAAATACACCATGAAGAACCATGCATAGTCAAAATTTGCTTGTCCATCTTGGTGGAACTACCCACATTCTCCAATCCTGCTTCAGCTTATATCCTCAGACGATAAAATGTTATTAATTAAAAAAATATTTATATTTTACTCTCATGAGTTAGATTGCAGAGATATTTTAAAGTAATATTTTAATAGATTTTAAGTTTAGGTCGATAATTGAATTAACTGATGTATTAAGCAAAGGTTTAATGTAACTGAGATCTAGATGCCTAGAATCTGCAAATGGTTTCTAGGAGAAAGTGCACGAAATCTCTGTTCTATGTCAATCAAACCCCACCCCTCCAACGCCCACAGGGAGCTTGTATGAGATGTGACTCCTCATAATTCTCTTGCTGGCACTGAAACCCTGGCTCTGATTAAAATTCAACTTAAATATTTATTTTAAATTCAAAAAGTAATGTGAAATGAAGCTGCAATCTAGAAATAAAGTGCGTATTCTACAGCAGAGAAAAGGATTAGAAGAAGATTGTGAATATAATCACTGCATTTCAAAAATAGGAAGAAATTCTGTTGAATTAAAGTCCAATCAGTTTTCTTGCTGAAACTATGGAGGAGGAGGAAGTGTTCAAATCCTCCCGCATATACAGAGTAGATGATTAATCAAGTTTCAGTATTATAGGGAAAGGTAAACAAAAGTCCATGTGGGTGATTGAGTGGAGAATCACAGTTATGCTTTAACATGTAGTAGTTTTAGGAGAAGACAGATTTGCGAGATACTACTTAAGGATAGACAGACAACAGAGCAGACACACAATAGCCACTAAGTGTTTTCAGTCTTAAAGATATTAATAATGTCATTTTTCAATGAGCTCTTCTTACCCAGATAAGTTAGTTGAACATAAAAGAAATTTTCTGAACAACTGGAGAGAATCGTTGGTTGGCCTGCCGTACCTAGACGTCTGAGAGAAGTGGGTCTCCAAAGTCTCACTCCTTCCCTTTCTCCTCCCTCTCTGACAGGGGTTGTGTATCCATGAGCATGGACAGCAACATGACCTTTATGGGCTTTGCTGCTCATCACATGTCTTGGTGTCATGGTTTGGTGAACCCTTTTGTCTGTTTTGCACAATAATTCTCATGTGTAGCTGAAGCTACCGTGATTGTGTAGGGTTTCCCCATAACTGTAAAAACCTAGCTCCCTGTGCTACCAGAGTGCCTGGCTTCGGCAGCAGATCTTGTTTCTTCAGCTGGATTCTTGTCCCTGAACCGGGAGGGAAATTGTGCGGGTGTTATGCAGGAAGCCTAGAGTCTAACGGCCACTGAAATACCCGAAAGCTCCAGCCAGTGATTATCATCTGTTTGCTTCAGTTGCTGCCTTGAAACTGCACTGTGACTCATTATCCTGGTGAGGCCTCTCCGTGATGACCTGTCAGATTTCTGAACGGTTATCAATCTTTAATGACAGAAAGTGTCCATTTGGATGATTGTGGTGAGCGCTAAAATTGTAAAATGTCGAGAGTATCTAGGAAATATTTGTGATTTCAATGAGAAGTCCCCAAAACCTTTCTTCTAGCTACTTGAATGTTTCAGGCTGCCTAGACAGTAAAACCATACTTGAGCAAAAGCGTTATTTGACACATTTGTCTTCAAATGAAAAGTATAAAGCATTCTTGCATATATATCTGTTTCAAGTCTGATCATTTCATAATGTTCCATTTTTGTAACAAAGTATAAATTTCAGATTATTTACTTTTCCCATTTTTAATCTCTGATCTTAGTTCCCAGCCACAAAGACAACAGAAATAAATGAAGAAGCTGGTAGACTATGCATTTGAAAATACTTCTCTCTCCCCACTTGTACATTCTTCATAAAGGCATTTAAGTTTCTAGAATAGCTGCAGAGATATAGACCAAAGCTATTTTTATATGTCAGGGGCACAGCGTTGGAGGGGCTGCGTGGTGACTAGGAGGCAAACAGAGGCTGCAACCGGCTCGCACAGAATTTGTTTCTCTGAAACCGCTGCACAGCACAGTTCTCTTGTCCTGAGCAAACGAACCAGGTCCAAGTGTTACTTAAACTGGGGTCAAATTCTAGGACAAGAAAACCCCAGACCATTCTGCCCAGTGGTTTGCTTTCCTTCTGGGCTTTTAACCCCATCGTGTGAGAAGTTTATCATCTTACGGCCTCCCTTTTCTGAATCAAAGTAACAGCAGTTTGGTTGGTCTTGAAAGATACTCACCACACAGTTCTTCTGTGTCAAGATTGCTGAAAGAGAGAAAGAAAGATGTTATTTCTTTGGTAATGTTTTCCTTTTTGTTTATCTTTTATTCTTCCAGGGCTGAGGACTGGTAAATTTAAAATATTGGGATAAAACGTTAATGAATATAATACATTACTGTTAGAAGAATAATGCCCTGGCCGAGGACCAAGGACCCCGTGGGACAGAAATGAAAAGATACTTCAGTGTTAGTCAATTAACCTCACACATTATGCAAATGTTCTTCCATGGTTACATCCGTAGCCCTTCATTTAAGTTTCTAAACATTTAAATACAGTTACTCTCCAATCCATGTAACTGTTTAATAAATGTGTGTGGTTAGGATAGTTCTTCAGCCATTCTACACTGTTGATTGCTTGCATATTGGCAACAATTATTGTATAAGAGTCCATTGCGAACAAATAATTCTGTATTGGTGTTTTTCCTTTCAACCTACTAGAAAAATAACACATAGTAGCAAAGGGCATGAGCTCTGGGGCCAGAATGCTGAGTCCAGCTCTTAACTCCACAACTTACTGTCTCTGTGACCTTGGATACTTTGCCTCCCCGAGTCTTAGTGGCTCTGTCTCAACACTGTTTCAGTGTTAAGTGAGAGGCTGGGCACAGAGAACTTTGGGTCACTAGTGCAAAGAGGTCATTTAACAAAGCATCATGACTGCTGACTTAGCAAAACTAGAGCTGATATACATGAGACAAATTTAATTCGATGCTTATTTCAAGTGATCTCCAAATGTTATTGTTACTTGGCTCAAAATTCAGGGGTAAACAATAGAAAATCATTACAATTATGAAGATAAATTCAAAATACTGGGGTGAAATGCTAATAGTATATGTTTTTATCAGAAGAATAATGCCATGGTGTGTTCCCAGAAGGGTGTGGTATAGGAATGAAAATAGACTTAAGTACTAGTCAATAAATCATTATAACTAATCACATTATGACAGAAAGAAGAAGCATAAAATATTAGTAAAGGGTAAATAAGAATTTAACAATAATTTCATTGTATTTCCTACTTTTCAAAGTTCAAATACAAAGACTAGAAAACATACCCCCTAAAGATATAAAGTATATGAGGATCTACTAGGAACATGAGTTTGAAAAATCTTAGAACATGCACTTGTCACATGCCAGAGTTCAATGACACCTTCCTAGACAAGTCTTCCTTTAAGTCACGGGAAGCTTTGCCAGACAGGAGAGACTCTGCTGCAGCCTTCCATCACCAGCCCTGTCAGACTCTGTTATGCAATCAAACTCGAGATGTCATTGTATGACACTGGATATTCTATCTTGTATCTGAATATTTCGATACTCAATGCACGGTTTTGTCACTAGACAGAATATGTAAGGTCTGTTGTGTTGGTTTTGAAATGTGCTCCTCAGTATTCATTTGTTTATTCCACAGACATGTATTGCTACATATTAGACATGATTCAAACTGCCATTGATACCCGAGGCTGCAATAGATATCAAAATGAATATATGAGATTTCTATCTGTTGGAGCTTAGCTCAAAAGTAGACTCAGCGGCCAGACATGGTGGCACATACCCTTAACTCCAGCACTCAGGAGGCACAGGGAGGCAGATCTCTGTGCATTCAATGTCAGCAGCCTGATCTACATAGAGAGTTCCAGCAGAGTCAGAGCTACACAGTAATACCTTGTCTCAAACACACAGAAAAAGACTCGTATAGCAAATAAATGACAATAAGCCAGATGATGTAGGAGAACTGGTGAGCTTTTCTGAGGTGTCTAAGAGTGTGTCTCAGGGAAATACAGTTAAGCTGAAGTCCAAAGATTAAACACAAATAGAAAAAGTAGATGAACAAGGGATATTCTTATTAAAAATATTTTTTTTTTGCAATAAAAATTAAAAGTGTGACTAGGAATTCATTCTGTTTCAGGGAACAAGGCTATTCCTTTGACTGAAATGTGCGTCATCATTGAGGAAATGGGGCTGAAAAAACTAACCCAACAAAGTAAGAAGTTCCTACTTGCTCTCTTATCAGTTTGGAATCACAGAAAAATCTGAAGGTCAGTAGCTTGACTCGATGAGATTGACAGTGGCGGGAGGAAAGCGAGGCACAGAGCCACATTTCCAGGCTACTGAAGTAACCGGGGCTCGCGGATCTGAGTGGAGCACCACCCAGTGGGTATGCGATCTTCTTCATGGGGTGGGGGCAAGAGGATAGCCTTGTTTTCACATTTAATACTAACCTTTACTTTGTATATGCTTGTTTAACATATAAACAAGTATTCTATAAATCTACATTTACTTTATAATCTAGTAATACAGTATTCTGTAAGATCCATTTCTCAATACCACTCTCCAGTCCTCCACTTTTCCTACATTAACTAATAAGTGAGTGTGGTCATCAGTAAGTAATTCAATTCCTTGTGAGAGACAGAGAGGAGGATACGGGTAGGAAGATACTGACTTGTGAAAAGTTTTGAGGAGAAACAAACAATGTTTTTAAACATACAGGGTTCCAGGTTAGCTAGCTCAGGGATTTTTTTTTTTTACCACTGTAAGATATAACATTTTTTCCCCCGAGTCTTACTGTGTTTACAGAACTTCAGACTTGAAAGGGACATTAAAGGGCACAGGTCATGTACTTATTTTCTGCAATGGTTCACAGTTCATAATGAGATTTATTCTGAATTTCCAAACGAATAAACAGCTCCAGTCTGCTATTGGAAGTGAAATGACTTGGAATCTAGCAGAAAGTAGAGCAGTTAGGAATAACGGACACAGGAGCCCTGCTTGTTCACTACTGCAAATGAGGCCTGTCAGGAGCTGCAGTGTTTGTGGCTCTGTGTTCAGTTGTTTTTGTGCCGTTGGTAGTGGGCAGGAAGTCACAGGTTTCCTTACAGAAGGCTTCCCTGGATAAGTTACAACAGGACTCATTTCACGCTGTGATCTATCACATCCTGTAGCAGTGCAAGATTTTACAGGGCACATAAACCACAGAAGAGACTAGAGTGTATCTGATAATGTAGGATTTTCCTACTTTTTCCCATGTTTATAGCAAAAAGCCCAATGGTATTTTACCAATAGCAGCATATTAAAATGAGGAAAGAAAGGGGAAGGGGAAGGGAGAGAAAGTCAAATGAAAAGAACGAATGCTGATTAAATAGCTCACATTCCTACAAAGACAGAACGGGACGGGTGTAAATAGAAGAATTCTGTCTCATCTTGCTGCCAGAAAGGGGTAGCAACCAAACACAAAGCTATTCATAGCCACCTGAATGGCAATAATGGACATAAAGACGAAGAAGACAAACATGAAGTAGACGGGTTGCTGTGTAAACTGTGTGCTGTCATGGACCACTGAATGCACCTGAAGAGTTCTCGCTATCATGGAAGAAATGCATATTCAAAACTAACACAAATGTCAAACCAGAGGTAGATGGGCTGGACACATTTGTATTGGTCAAAGGTCTGGAAGAAGTGCATGAATACGGCACTAGTGAGCCCACACTGCTCCTGGGTGGCAGCATGTAAGGGAGGTTTGCTTCTTCTTTTCTAAAACATATCTGTCTGTGATCATTACATTGCCCCATTAATGGAAAGAAAGAATTTTGTAGTTGGACTGACAGAAATCAGTAAAAACAGGGAATTAAGGTTAACAGGAGAGGCTAATGGTTTCTCTGCACACACTGTGCAATGGTCCGTGAGTTTGTTTAGTAGAGGTTGCATTCAGTCTGTCCATTTGAACCTGACACTCCATTTTGCAAACTCCACCATTTGACATTCTGTGTATAAGAAAGAGTGACGTAGTAAGCAATACTTAACAGCATTCACATCCAACCATGAAGGTACTGGAAGTTGTATTCTACTGTGTTGTGTTGGGCTCCCTAAACTTTGAGGAAATCAAGTTTCTGTCTTGAGAAGTATGTTTGCTATTCAACCCAAGAGAGAATACCAGAGCGCTGTGATCTGGGAGCTCAGGATCCCCAGCTGTCAGCTTAGCTTGCACATCAGAACAATTTTATATTCAACCTTTCTATTATCTCTCTTAGGTATTTTCCTACAGATTTACCTGAATTTCAGCTCAAAAATACTAACAAAGGGTTGTGACTTTTGCATTGAAAGATCACCATTCTAAACTCTTCCTTTGCTGCGTCTCATTATATTCATTTCATCTTCTTCCCCAAACTACAATTTCCATATCCTAGGTATCTTTGTTGCAATTATTAAACCCCAGGTTCATGTAAGAATCTGAACTCTCCTAATATTGAGGCCAATTAAAATCAGATTGTTTTTCACACATAAACAAGCTTCATATATGGGAGATCAGCTAGAGTTAGAAAATCACATTTTTCTTGAGCTACAAGTTATTGATTTACTCAACCATGATATGCTAATTATTTCCTCTGGGCCTTGCAGTGAGCTGTTTTGTGTACTCAAAATATTCATGTCTTAGACTCTGCATGAGAAATAATGTCTTTGTAGGTATAAGGAAATTAAAATGGAGGTAATGTTGCATTAGTGTGTATGCTAAATGATTTCCCTTTTAGATGAGAAAAGGAAGGAAATTTTGGGTATTGAGACACAGACAGAAGACTAGGGAAGTGTAGGCAGAAATTGGAACTCTTCTTCTACAATCCAAGAAATACTAGAATTTGCCAGCTTCCTTGGGAAGCTGGAGGAAATGAAAAAAGGTTCCCCACTTAAGACTCGAGAGAGTAAGGTCTTGCTGAGCCTGTATATTGGACTTCCAGTCTTCAGAACTGTGAGAAAATAAATTCCTGTTGCTTTCAGCCACTCGGTTTATGACATTTTCCAGGGTAGTTCTGGGAAACTGTTAAACCTGCTTTAACATCCTGTGTGGGGCTCAAGTAGATATACACGTCAAATAGCATCATGGTTTGGTCTCTGTGTCACTTCCCGAACTCAAGAGCTAGGTTCAAAGTTAGAAATTACCACACTGAATTATGATGAAAGGTGCAAACAGACAGAGCTGGTAAACCACGGCTAACATCCATG